GCAATTCTGTACGATCCATTTCACACGCGTATAAACAATGAAATTATCAGTAACAATAGCGTGCAAACTGTCATGTCGTAGAGAAGTGTCAAATCTTTCAGTGTTGCCAGATTTCAACACCCGTACTAATCATTAACTTGTTGCTAAAGACATCTGTTGCTCAGGACCGGAATTAAAATAGTTTAACTCTTTCACTGCTGAATTAACTTCCCTTGAGAAAATTATTAAAATATTTGGTAGACCTACGTTTTTTAGGTTGCTGATTACGAATCTAAAGTCAGATTTGCAAAATTCAAAATGACGGATTCAATATGGCGACTGACAATGTACGAAATTGATAACAATTCCGATTATTGATGATACATGGGTTTTTCGAATCGCTGATTACGAATTTGAGGCAAGATTTGCAAAATTCAAAATGACGGATTCAATACGGCGATCATAAAATCAAATTTCAGCCGTTTTTGTAGAAATATTTGTTTATAAAAAAAAATCTAACCTGCAAAAAAATATATGTTTTTGTACAACATCAGAAAAATATTTGGTGAAACTTTCAGACCTCTACATTCAATACTCTCCGAGGAATCGATTTTTTCCTAAAGAAAGCATTTTTTTCAACTTTGATTTGTTACAAATAATCACCAATGAATAATTGGGTATAAAAACCTATTGGAGTATGTTGAATAATAATTATTCAGTTATCTGGAAAGCTCAAATCCCCGATTAGTTCTTCAAAATTATGCGATTTACAACGTAAAATTGAAGTAAAGGTGGGGAGTATACTTCCCACTAACAGTGAAAGGGTTAACCTCCTAACACTTCACTTCAACGTATTCGCAAGGATCGATTTCACGAGACGAGACTCCGGCTTCCACGGAACGGGGATCCTGAATCCCATCCCGTGTGTCAATACGCGCGAGAGCGTAGCGCGTCGGGCATCGCGCTCTCTTCTGACGCATTATGTACATCGGCTGATCCGAAATATCGTTCCGGCCGATGCGCGATAAGCCGATTAACGGATTCGCCTCACCTTTCCTACCCGACTCCCCGCTCGCCATTGTGCTCGGCGCGATCGCGGGGGAATCTAACGCGTACGGAGCCCCCCGTTCCTTTTTTGCGCGGGAGCAGCCTCTTTCAGCCGTCCATTAACGCGCTCGGCTCGCCCGGTGGCACTTAAAGCAATCCTTACGCACGGCGAAAGGATGTACTATTAACGAACTTTCACTAATTTATTTTTTGCCCGCCGGGATATTCAATTACGCGTAATCTCGTAAAATGCGCCGGCCGCTGTTGCGAGGATCGACGTCCCGACGGACGAGCGGCCGGCGCTGGAATCTCGCGATTAGGCCCTCTATTGATTCAAATTACGGATTTAATGGATTCTTCGGCTTGTACGTGCGTGCACGCGGGAGAGACAGAGAGACAGAGAGAGAGGGAAAGAGGGAGAGGGAGAGAGAGAGAGAGAGAGAGAGAGAGAGAGAGAGAGAGAGGCAAGATGGCGAGATTGAAAATATCCCCTAAAAGAGACTCATTCGATCGTCGAGAAATTTCCCCTTTTGCACGTCGTTGCGCGATCAACGAGCGCTATTGTCTCCAACGGTGGCAGTAAATCATCAGCGCGTAATTGTATCTCTGCTACTTCGTGCCGTGGAGGGGAGGGGAGGAAGGGGGCGAGAGAGCAACGAAACGGCGCGCTCTCTCGCGCAGTCGCAAGTATCGGATTCTTTCGCGAAACATCGGCAGCATCATCGGGTCGATGAGAGGGACCCTCGCGAACGCGCGTTGCGAATCGATGGATCTCACGAGATATTCGCCTCTCTCCTTTGATTACAATTAACTCCGCCGGGAATTTCAGCAGTCTTCGCGCCCCCGACGAGAACCTACGGCTACGACGGTGGCCGGGGCCGGGGCCGAGGCGGTGGGGGGTTCAGGAGATGGCTCGGTGAAACGAGTGTCGGGTAATTAATTCGGGTGACCCCAGCATCCCAGGCGGTAGCACCCTGCGAGGGATCCCCCCGCCCTCCCGGCCGCTCCTCGTCTTTTTACGTCCGCCGGCTGGCTGCGCTGCGGCTGCTGGCTCTCGTCGATCGTATCGTGCCGCGGCTGATTTTAAATCAGAAAGTTAATTAGACGCGTTCCTTTGTGTCGCCCGTCCCAAAGCAATCCTTTAAGCGCGCGACACGGAACGGCGCGGCACGACCGCGCGCGCGACGGCGCGGCGCGGCGCGGCGCGGCGTGCAGCACACGAACTCGCCGCGCGGTTCGCGCACACCAACGTGCGGCGAGAGCGGGCCGCATTATGCGGACTAATTAAACTCCAATCGATCGAGCTGACGCTCTCCCGACGCCACGTCGTCGCCGTTTCGTGTCCGTCGTCAGCGCCGTCACGCAAGGCCCCGTTTTCCGTTCGCGAGCCGTCTGGAGCGGATCGAGCCGCGCCGCGCCGGTCGCCGGTCGCCGGTTACGGCGTCATGAGCCAACTTCCGCGTACGACACGTCCCTGCCGGAGGGAGGGAGGGAGAGAGGGAGGGAGGGAGGGGCATTCTCGTGGACAGCCCTCTCCGATAAGAAACGGCATCTAATGCGAACGTCTCACGTTCCCGGAGCGTCACGTTCGTCGATCCGACTGATTGCAGCTCTGTGTTTCCCCCCTCGCAGGCTTCTGCGGTTAACTTCGTGCGGCGAACGGTACCGGTCGTCGTCGCGCGCGGCTTGGACGACCGGCGGGAACGGGCGATTTATTTCGCCCGTTCCCGCCAGTTTCTGCACGACGAAGTTTCCGCTACGTCACAATGATAATATCACGCGTGCGATGTCGAAGGGAGCGAGCATTGTGTCGGGGCGAGGGGCGAGGGACGTTCTCGCAATTTCTCGCGTCGTGCGCTGCTAAATTGTCGTATCAGACGACTGACGTCGTTTTTCCTCAAAGTAAAAGGACGATCTCCGTCCATACATTGTGATGCATTTTTCTACGACTTGAGCTTTACGGCGCGACAATAGGAGAAGCCTTCCTCCAGGGAGACCTTTGTGTGGTCTCTCATAAAGGATATCCGAGAGGACGTTATTGTGAATGTGAATGTCATATTCATTAACGCGCGATGAAGAAGTGAGAGCGAATGGAGGGGCCCCGCGAGCCGGTAACTCAGTAGGGGACTCGGGTAATTGGGAATCGTTTCGAGCCTGACCTGTCAGCACCGCCGCGCGCCGTACACGGTATGTTAATTCGACATAATTGCAGGGCTGGGCCGCGCGCGCGTCTTCACAGCGAATCCGGATCTCCTTTCTTGCCCGATCCTAATCGTAAGCCTAATCGTAATCCTATACCGATCTCGTTACCGATGATTCCTCGATGGGCGAACTCGATTCAATCGCCTCGCGTGTATCTCAAGCGCGCACACCTCGCGCGAGTAAAGTACGATCGCGAGCGAAGTACGAGACTCCGCGCGCTGTGTCGCGCGAGTAATATTAGGAGGTTGCGTTAATTCGTGCTTAGAGGTCCGGCATTCGGTCTTAGAGGTTATACATTTCTAAACAGCATCCAGTCGGCATCAAAGGTCGTTTCTGTGTACGGAAAAAGGTGATGCGAATATGGGACGCGATAAAGTGTTTTTCCGACGTGTACTTCTTCATTACCTTGACTTGAAGAAAAGTGCAGCTGAAGCTTATCAATTGCTTCTCGACACTTATGGCGAAGCTGCTCCTTCAGAAAGAACGTGTAGAAAATGGATGCAACGTTTCAAAGAAGGTAATATAGAAATTCAAAACAAAAACAAGATGTCGAAAAGTTACTTTCGTACTTTCGGTCCCTTTGAGATACAAATGATTTGAAGGGAGGCACAAACGGGTACAAACGATTCTCTTTCGAATGGCGTTGGCCGTTTTGCGATATCTCAAAAATTGGCGAAAGTACCTCTTGGATGATTTTTGAAAATCCTATACTTTCGGTTCCTTTGAGGTACAAACGATTTGAAGGGAGGTACAAACGGGTACAAACGATTCTCCTTCGAATGGCGTTGGCCGTTTTGCGATATCTCAAAAATTGGCGAAAGTAACTCTTGGAAGATTTTTGAAAATCCTATACTTTCGGTTCCTTTGAGGTACAAACGATTTGAAGGGAGGTACAAACGGGTACAAACGATTCTCTTTCGAATGGCGTTGGCCGATTTGCGATATCTCAAAAATTGGCGAAAATACCTCTTGGATGATTTTTGAAAATTCTGTACTTTCGGTTCCTTTGAGGTACAAACGATTTGAAGGGAGGTACAAACGGGTACAAACGGTTCTCTTTCGAATGGCGTTAGCCGTTTCGCGATATCTTATACTTGCTTGCTGGCTATTTTTCCCCCTTCCCCTATTTTTTATCCTTCGAGGTACAAACGAAACAAAAAGTGGTGCAAACAGGTACAATGAAGTACAATCGTATTGCGAATTTTTCTTTTTTATCAAGGTGCTTGCCAAGTTCACATCGGTATTATGCATTTGATAACTTATGGAAGGCGTAGTACGTCATAAGCTTCTGAATTCCAGTGAAGCGGTTAATGCTACACTTTATCAACGCTAATTGGAGCGATTGAACGACAAATTGATGCAAAAAAGGTCGTCAGTAGTCCAGTAATAGGTGAAAAGTAATCCTCCAACATGACAACGCCAGACCGCACATGGCAAGAACGGTTAAAGAAACACTGATGGACCTGGAATTGAATGAAGGCGTATTTGATCCCCTGATCTTGCTCCTTCCGATTTTTACCTATTCCGCTCTATGCAACACGTTTTGGAAGACACGCGCTTCGCCAACCTCGAGGAACTCCGAAAATGAGTCGATGATTGGATCGCCTCAAAAGACAGGTCTTGCTTTCGACGAGAGATTCAGCTTTTACCAAAAAGATGGCAAAAAGTAGTCGAAAGTATTGTACATATTATGAAAATTATATATTATGAAAATAATAAATATTCCAAAAAAGTGGCATGAATTAATGCAAACCCCTGATAATTTTACTCACCTCTGCCACCGCCGTTCGCTATCCTGCAACAGATAAATTCAAAATGCCTGTGAATAAGCTGTAATATTTCGAAGGAGCGAAGGAAAGATAAACACGCGTATCGTGGTGACGGAGTTTGATCAACAATTTTGCCCGAAGAAGATTTTTCTTCGGTTGCGGAGATTTCGCTTTCCGGTCCAACGACTGTAATCGCGACCCGAGCGCGATCATGCTTCGCTCGTAACGATGTTTGCCTGATACACGAATAGATCTGTACGTTGAAAAAAGTCCCCTTTTCAGTTCCCAGTCGAGCACGACGGTCTCACAGCGGTCTCCCTTTCGGCCCTTTCTACACCCCCCATTCGTCTGTCAGCTGTCGAGCCCGCAGCGGGTCGATCTACTTAGTGATCCCGTTTCGTACTTAGCGGCGATCCGCTCTCTCGATTGCGATATCCGCCGGTAGGTGGTAATTTAAGAGAATCGGCCGAGCGAGGTGAAACCAAGGCGGTCGGCTCGCGAATCTGTCGACGCGGCGATCCGTATCGAAGTGCCTCGCTGCGCTTCTCTCTTCGCGAGAGGTGTCCGAGATCATCCTCGCGGAAGTTGAACCGTGCGCCGCTTATGTACACGAGGATTTCAATTTCAACGAACGTTAAACGCAATTGATTTTGCGCGGCGCAGAACGAATTTGGACGCAACCGTTCGCGGAGATCCATCGAAACGCGTCGTGTGTGAAATCCTGTTTGGTCCTCGCGCGAAATCAAGCGCGTTTATACTTGTCTTGAAGAGAAAGAAAGAGGCGTGCACTGACCTTCGACAGTGGGAGTAGATCATCATCGCCACCGCTCCGATGCCCGCCGACACTAAGGACACTATCACTAGAGTCAACACCCATCCGTATTCTCCATGACCTTCTGCAAGAAAATGAAAATTATCAGTCGTACCGCAATATCGCAAGTACCGCAGAAATTGTGCAATAACCCGAGCAGAAAAATTAATAGGGCTCTGGTAAGGCCCTGATTATTTTTCTCTAACATTAATCGGGTCCTAGTAGGGATAAGAGAACAAGGGCTCAACAAGATGTGTAACAAACGGTTTAATAATTAATAATGGTTGAATTAAATGGATCCTTAGAAGGCAATATTAATAAGGCCTTATAAGGAAATATCTTTATTATTGCTTGAGTAAAAATATTCGTTCTTTTCATTCTAAAAAATTTAGACTGTAATTTCTTTATTTCTTTATAACCTTGTTAGTATACAACGCAAATTTTTTATTTAAAAAATATAGCATACTTTTACAATAAAATATAGCATTCTTTACATGTAAAAATCCTGCTTTTTTTATTAAAGTTTGCCGCATTTCAAAACGAAGGCAATACTAGAGCAAACCTTGGAAGAGACTAATGAATATGGCAACTAAATAAAACTAATAAAATTGGTTTTTAATTTAATTTGTTGCGGTATAATTAAAAAATTTTTTAAAGAACCAGATAGAGTGTATTTCCTAAAACAATACTAAACTATGACAATTTTATTACACGCTTCAGATATTATTAATTTTCTATAACAAAACTTGATTTTGTATATCTAAAACATCCTTGAAAGATCTTTCTAAAGCCCACATTAGTTTTCCATGTTAAAGCGTTATTTCATCTAAGGCATCCCTAAAAAATCCTTTTAAGGTTCTCATCAGTTTTCCTTATCAAAGCCTTATTTCGTAAAATCTATATACCTCTAAAAGATCCATCTGATGAGGTAACAATGGGGTATCCCTTTTTAGGGCATCTTACTTTCAGCCTTATCGGAGCCTTATGCCTCATGAGGATGGCCCCAACCATTTTTTGCTCGAGAAATGCTCGTATAAATGTGTAAATTATACATTTCGCTGAGTGAGGAATTTTCAACCTTATTAGCAAGACACAAATTCCCACCTTTGCACCAACGTAACATTAACTACCGATTAATTACACACAAGAGCACGCGGTCTCCCCGCGACAACGGTGAGAAAAGCGTTCAAAGAAAAAGGAAGAGAGAGAGAGAGAGAGAGAGAGAGGGGGGGAGAGAGAGAGAGAGAGAGAGAGGGGGAGAGAGAGAGAGAGAGAGAGAGAGAGAGAGAGAGAGAGAGAGAGAGAGAGAGAGAGAGAGAGAGAGAGAGAGAGAGAGAGAGAAAAGCCGGTCGCGCCAGCGACTTTCCACGACTCTCCGCCGGATAAGGGGCGCGTCGAGACCCAAATATGCAAATCTGTTCTCGGAAGATGACGCTCGGAAAGAAGAGGAAGAAAAATGCGACAGCGTTTCCACCGTCCACTCGGCTCCAGTCTCGACGCATTATCATAGTTTCTCTCTCGGCCGCGCGCGCGCGCGTGTGCACCGGGCAACACGAGCATCGAATAAATCGGCCGTCGAGATCTTTGCGCGCTACGCGCGGGCGCCCCGTAATTGGCTCGCAACCTCATCCGGCGCGTTCCGTTTCCGCGCGCAGCAGGGCACCCGTAGGTTTATTAGGCGTCCTTCGCTATTATTCGTGCCGCACACCTACCGAAAGCTCTCCGCGTCCCTTACCTATCCCACTTATCACGCTGAAATCGTTTCATTCCGAGCGCGCGCTCGCTCGCGCTCTTAACGAGAGTCCGAGATTATCGTCCGCGCGTGCGGACATAATTAAGAGAATCGCGCCGCGGCTTTATTGCGCGAGAACGGCGCACGTGACGGAGGTTAGGGGAGCCGACACGGGGTGAGATCCTCTCCGGAGGATGGTCCGGAGGATGGTGCGATCGCGGATCGTCCTGCGAGAGCGCAAACGGGGACGATTCGCGCGTCCCTCCAGCGCCGACGATTTCCCGCCGTTCGAGGACTGCCCGAGAGGCTCTCTTCCTCCCGCCGAGGGGGAACGATCACCGACCAGTTCCCTCGGCTGTTTGCATAGCCGTTTTCGTCGAAACGCGACGCTGAGAGCGTAAACGAGAGAGAAAGGGAGATAAGAGCCGAGCGCGGTTTTCTCCTCCATCCCGCTTCGCGCGCTCATTAGTTGGCTCTTAGAGTTTGTCGCGTTATCGTGGAGTATCTTAAGCTCGCACAGAATGTTTCTGATCGGTCCTTACTCAAGGTCTTAATCGCGACGATTCTCTCGGAGCCGACGCCGAGTGAAACGCTCGAGCGGAGATTAGCGAGCGCTCGCGGAATCACGGACGCGGGAACGGGATAATTAGGTCCCGCTGATCGGAGGATTATATCCGCGAAGAAGGCGCGTAATGCGCGCCTCGGCCGATCCTGTTCCTCGACTTCGCTCCTCGTCGTCGCCGCCGCTGTCGCTGTCGCGACGACATTAACCCATTAATGCCAGCTGGGACAGAAATTTCGCGTTGATTACAATGTTATGAATTTTTATGAAAATGCTCGAAAATCTTAATCCAAAGTACATTACTAGGGGCTTTCGAGGTCGCTCTTTCCGAATCCGCTGCGAGAATCATAAAAAAATGACTGTTTGTATTGATTTGTAACGGTTTTTTTTTCCAAAAAATGCGATTTTTTCTCGTCAATTTTTTCTTTTTAAATTATGGATTTTATCTTGATAAAAATGTTGAATATTATTGAGAAGTACTCCAATCGTGTCCTCGAGACTTCTCGTAATTTCAAAAATACATATCTGGACGTAAAATTTTCTGTACTTTTCAAATCTGTAATAAAAAATATAAGTTTTGCACCAAAAAATCAACGTTGGGCCCCGTTAGGCCCAACAAGTACATCGGACCCAAATTTGGGGCATACCACGTGAAAGAACTCGATCAACAGGACAACTTTTATTTTGGATAATTTTTCACAAAAATGCACTCATAACGAGTTATTCGACCGAGTTCCCAAGGATCCGGCGATATCTATGGTGATACATGCATATATGGTCGCCATATTGAAATTACTAAATTGCAAAAAATTTCAGAACCGCATATATTTTAAGTACAACTTTCGAGGACACGATTGGAGAAAAAATCGCATTTTTTAGAAAGAAATCGTTACAAATCAATACAAACACTCATTTTTTTATGATTCTCGCAGCGGATTCGGAAAGGAGCGACCTCGAAAACCCCTAGTAATGTACTTTGGATTAAAATTTTCATAAGAATTCATAACATTGAAATCAACGCGAAATTTCTGTCCCAGCCCGGCATTAATGAGTTAATCGCGCGCCGCCTTTTTTTCTTTTATCTCGAAATCCTCCCCGAGTGCACCAAGTACGCTCGTCTCCTGGAACGGTAGATTCATTACGTCCTTGTCACACGCACTCTTTGCTCTCCGCGCGGACGTTTATATGCGCTTCGAGTTGCCGCAATCGCTCGGAACCTCGGAAGAAGGACTTCCAAGGAAGAGGAGGAAGTCGTCCCTCAGCGAGAGAAGAAGGAACCGCCCCCGTCTGCGATCGAGAGCTACCGCTCGACTCTGCATACGAATGCGTCGTTGATGCGTCGCCTTGTCGCGCGTTTGCGAGGCGGTAACGACGGAGGGATGTGGGGGATCGGACGGTTACTTTTGAGGAGGCCCGATACTAATAATTTTCGGCCCGCAGCCCGCAGCAGAAGCATGAGAGCAAGGGGAGGGACATGTTAAAAGAAACGTGACTCATGGCGGAGGCGGGAGGGGAGAGGCTCGAGAGGACAAGGGGGATATTGAGAAACGAGATTCTCTCGCGAGATCTCACGAAGATTAACATTCCCCGGCGCTAATTATTTCGGATAGCATCTGACAGGAGCATAACCGAGCGGCAAGTGATTAATGGGAATGTATCCTCGTCTACTTGGCGCGCAACGACACTTGAGGAATAATTAAGGAAAGATTCCCGAGGGTGAGACTTTCGATCGTTGGACTTTCGCAGTTCGGGACACGTGAATCTTTGCTTTGATTGATATCTATATGGGCCCACTTTCGGAAGAAGGGGCGCTCGCGAGGAACGAGCCGATGAAGAAAGGGAGGAGAGGATCGAAGATTCGGGCGAGGATGTGTATATAGAAAAAAAAAAAAAGAAAAAAGGAGGAAAGGAAAAGAAAGAAGGAAAGGAGAGGGCGAGTTTAACACGTCGACACGTAGCTTTGAATTAACGGCAACAAGTCGTGGCCCGGAAAGCCCGTCTGCGAGAAAGAAAGAGAGGGGAAAAGGCAAGGCCCGTCTATCAGCGTCACGTTCCTGACGTGAACATAACAGCGTGCACGCCGCAGCTGATAACGCTTACAAGAGGGTTATCAATCATCTCGCGCCGAGATTGACCACCTAGACCAATGCGTGTTAATGTCGGCCGGTGCTCGCGAGTTCCCTGTTACAGTTATCTCGGTAAATTGTTTTGATCTTTGAACAGGCCGAGCTAGTTAGGTAGTCCCTTCAACCTGCATGTCGGAGTTAATAACCTTTCGCCCTCTCCGTTTCACCGGCAGCTGAAATTTTAACCAAGCGAACACTCCATTCGATCGCGCATTAGCAACACTTCTCTCTCTCTCACGACTCGCGACTCATTCTGTTTAGCTGATTACACGTGTTAATCCAAGATAGCGCGTGTCTTTTGCCTTGCTGCACAAGTCGCTTCGGTAATTATTCGGAATAAAGCTTCTCTCGAATTTTGATATTTTTTTTGGTAAAAATCTTTGTTGCGATAATAGTAATCGACAACTTTGTTTAATAGTAATCAATCGGGAGAGCCTGAAAGATATATCGTCCACATATATTTTTAACTATTTCTTTTCAACGTGGCTTTCCGGATCTGCCAAGGTTAAAAACACATGATGGCCCTGAAAAGGATCGATTTTGCGCGATTTGTGGTTCATGCTGGAAAACAAAGCTGCAAACAAAACAAGGCTACTGAGAAAGATTAGCAAAAGCCTTGTGCAAGCCAGACAGGGTGTCATTTAAAAGAAAAAAATATTAAAATA